TAATTATAAACTTTAATATTTAAATAATTTTTTTGTATATATATTAATAACTTTAAACGGCTTTGCTTTTACTCTTTAATAAAATTCTTTGAGTTTGGACAAAATAAATTTCTTGTCAGTTTTAATTACCTCTTCAGCCAATTTGTTATGGATGGTTCACCTATAAGCAAAAGGAACTACGAATTTCTATATGAATATAAATTCATATAATATACGCACCAGATAAAATATACTTAACACTTTGAGAGCGTGTATAAAAAAGAATATATTTATAATATATTCCAAAAGCGGCTCACTTTATTGTATTGTTGGGAAGAACTTTAGCATTTGAAACTCGACTAAAGTGAGCTGAACAATAAATTGTTCAATTTTACGCTTCATTTTAATAATAATAAAAATATGCATAGCATAATTCGGTATACATAATTTTAATTTTGTCATGTTTACTTTTTTTTGGCATATTAACATAATTTGAATCTCAAGTATTTTCTAAATGTTTCTTTGGCTTCATTTGCATTTGAGATATAACAAATTCGACTTTCAGCAACTGCAGTGCATTATTTATAAGTATATTTTTCTGTTGAGAAGCAGCCATACAAGACTCGTTGGACAATACTCAGGTTGGATTGTGAAATTTATTTGTTTTTAATTGTCAATTTATTCTGCTCTGCATTCACATAGAAGTTTAATTTAAATTGTCTTAGACGAGTCATTAAAATGTTAAACAGCAATGAAATTTTTACTTGGCCGAAACTAGGGGATGTTCCTCATTTGGTGCGCGAGTAAAGACTGGAACTGAAATGAGGATAGATTTTGTAGAAATATGTGCAAAATATCTTCAATAATATTCTAGGTATTTAGTAGTCTTAATATTCGGATAGAGTACATATACAACATATTCAAAGAACAAGAATTTTTTACTTGAAGGTTTTTAGTGTCAAGATTAAATAGATGAAGAAGAGGATGTATAATCAGAGTCACCAGCTCAACTCTATGTACAATTGCTCTTTAAAATGCCAAAGAAATAAACTTTTACCCCATTTCCGTGAGGCAACTCCTTTGCCACGCCCTAGTTAAAGAAAACTTTTACTACAAATAAAAACACTTTTTCATTTCTTTCCTTTTCATTCTGAGCCGAAAAATGAGAAAATAGAATGTGGCAAAATTTTCGCTGCTTCAATCATAAATTCTTCATGCCCTATATTCAGTTGCCAGTGAACAAGATTTTTGCTTTCGATTCGTTTTTGGCCAAGAAGTTACGTTTGTTGTTTCTCTGCTTCTTCGCGTGGAAGAAAAGATGCGAAGGTGCAGGCATAACATTGGTCAGCACAACAAAAGCGAAGGCCAAAAGGCGAAGAACAAACAGTTCAGTGAACTCATTAAAAGCGAAAATTCCGCACGTGTTTCATTCAATTTCTGCAGCAACTGCAAACGTTGTGAATGCTGGGGCACGGCCATATACACAATAATATTTGCATTTCAATAAATGCGTACGCGTTGGCCAATATACCGTTAATGATTTAAGCATTTCACTATAAGAGCGAACGAAAAACAATGCGACGCTTGTGTTCGCTCAACGAACATGCAGCATCATCGACGCGTATCCATCAGATACATTTGCATAACAATGCGCCTTTCAAAGTTCTTTGAACTCCACTTAATAGTTCTATGCTGCAATCGAGACGAAAAGAAATAAAAAAAGAAAAAACAGTTAAAAGTTGATGTTGCGATTAGAACATTTTATTAGTCGACCCAAACCGTTGCTGCATCCATTAGTTGTCCCACATTCCAATTTCTCTTGAATCTGTTCGTTCGACAACTAATTCTAATCAGAAGAGACGCTGGGCCTGCCCAACTAGAATTTGGTGATCAACCGGTTTGACGCTCCAACGACGGTTACATATTTTTGGAAGTGAACAACTTTTTGATATCCCTAGCTGCGGGTGCTCCAGCTGTCGCATCTGCTATAAATGGGGAATATTGTGAAAACAGTTAAAAATTTCTATAGAACCATATAGGCAATGCTGTCGAAACTATTATTTAACTATGCGAATATAAATGTGGATTGTTAGACCATAACAGCCTACGACTCTTGATATTACGCATTTCTAAAGATATATATCTATGTATTACATATGGATTTATTATAAATAAATTAATTTGTCTAATGTAATACTTTGATATGTCTGATTACATTACCCAAATTATATGTCTGATATCATAGTATTACATTAGCCAAATTGATTCATTTATATTTAATCCATCTATCATGTATGGCAGGTCCTATATATAAAATGAATTATTCTATTGTATTATTTAAAAAGTGGTTTACAAATTATAAGATTTAACAAGTAAGAAAGCTCTAGTCGAGACTGCTCGACTACGAGATCCCCTGAACCCTTGGAGCAATAGATATTTCAATAATTTTTTGCGTCTTTCAGCTTACACAAGAAACACGCACACACACACGCACGTACGCACACACAGGCATACATACACACACGCATACAGACACCCATACACACACACACACGCATACATACACAAACTCATACACACACACATACACATACACACACACATACACAAACACTTACACACACATACACAAACACATACACACACAAGCACCCACGCATAAACAAAAATTTGGAGACTCTAGCAATAAAGGTGTAGAAGATATAATTTTATAACTGGTTTTCGATAAGGTTTTTCATCGATAAAAAAAGATCGGGATGAGTTATCGAATTTTAATGATAAACTCGATATCCGCGCTGTAATTACGAACATTTTACAAAAAATTTGAAGTCTCTAGCTCTTATATCTTCGGAAATCGACGCGTTCAAACATACGGACAGACGGACAGACGGACAGACGGACAGACAGACAGACGGACAGGGCCAAATCAACTCAGCTCGTCACCCTGATCAAGAATATATATACTTTGTGGGGTCTGCCACGCCTCCTTCTGCCTGTTACATACATTTCAACAAAACCATTATACCCTGATTTCCCATTGAAAATGGGTTCAGGGTATAAAAATGTAAGCAGGGTCAAACAATTATTATAAATAATAAAATCATTTGTCATAATTAGAAAGATGCTTATCAAAATTCATTTCAACTGGGTGGTTATCAAAGGTTAAAGAAACTTTAAAAGTATTTCACGTAGCAATTTTTAAAATTTTCTTTTCGATTTTATGCAGGATATTTAGCTTATAAACTTTTTAGTATACCACTATTATATAATTCTATTTGTCAAGTTTTTTATTTATGTAAAATAGATGTTTAAACACACATAAAGGAATAATATAGAATTATTTCCTTTTGTTATAATTAACAATCAGTAAACTGATAAGCAACGTCTGATAATTAAAAGTTAACAAGTCATTCATAATTAAAAGTTAACAAATTTAAAATTGTTATTTCTTTATAAATTATTATTTATTAATATTCCCGGCCATGAGCAAAAATTATTTAATTTGCACATTAAACTATGAAAGAGTTTCTTTCGCAATTTTTCATGGAAGATAAACTTTTCCCCAATTGAAATGCTCTCATTTCGCTTCAAGAACGAGTCTCAAGATTGTACCACAAATTGAAAAGCATTTCGCCTGGCTGATGGTGATGCTAGAGCTCGAGCGTCATGCGAGTGCAAGTGTAATATTGTGCCATGTTGAGTAGTGTTGCGGTGTGCTTGGTGTTGTGTAAATGTGTCTGTGTGTGGTGTGTGTTGTGTGTTGTGTCTTTGTGTGTGTGAGTGCTGGTTGTGCTCGTGAGGTGCCTGATGTGTGGCCTGTGGTAGACCAGAAGACGAACTAATTAATTTGGATTAATTAAATGGCGTCTGCGATGCGTGTGATGTCCTTGCAATCAGGCAGGTAGAAGCCACAGTCCAATTGGAATGTGCGCTCTGATTCCCATTTAAATCTGATTGGCCGAGCCAAAAGCGTACTTAAATATAATTATACATTCGATTAAAGAACATGTTGCTAATTAATGGCGTTATAAAATTATCTGAAACAAGATGCTGCGATAAGTTCATTAATTACCGTTCATTTAAAACGGGAATCCAAAATTTCACTCGAAATATATCTTATGGTATATCCCATTTCAATTTGTTCATAGATAGAATCACGTTTGGCGGTTTTATTATAATCATTTCCTTCGGCCGTCATAAATACCGAATGTCTGCAAATATCGCAAATCTGAATAACAAATCAAATTCGCCAGCATAAATTAACTTGATTGATAATTTCTGGGCGGGTTTAATTGAATAAATTATTGGCTGAAAATTTAAATATTATCAGATTTCCATCACATCAAAGAGTTGACCAAGTCTATGTGAAAATTTTTAATTTATTATATATGTACATATGAAATACCCGTTCAGGGGTATATGGGAAAAAATTGCTAAAAAGTTATTATTATCATTTAGTACCGATTTTAAATATTAATCGGTGATGAATTCTAGACCTTAAATATATGTATATAGGGTATCTAAGAGTCTTCTATTGCACTTTCTTTGCACACTCACTTATTGACTTTATTTTGTCTCTTATTACGAGAGAAGAGCAATAAACCGAATGTCATAAAACAAAAACGGTTGGCCAAATTAAAAATACAGCTCATTAAAACAAATTGAAACGGCAATTTCCAAACAAAAAACATTTCACGAGCGACTCTTAAAGGCTAAAGACCAGTATATCGTATCAGCCGGGCAGCAGCAGGACATTAATCAGCACGAAAGCTGATTTCGAGCTCAGTGAGTCTGGTGCTCGGGCTTAGACTGCTTTTCTTACACCGCCAGTGGCTAATGCAAAATCGATGACCAAATTAACTTCCCGGGAGGTGGCAATTGGCAATTGGCAATGGGCCTTGCAGTTGGCCCATAAAAACACTATGCAAATTGGCAAGATGCTAGACATTTATTGAATTCACTCACATAAAATGCAATTGAAATGCTCTAACTATTTGCCCTCGCTTCTATTTGCTTTGCAGGCCGCACGATGTCGTCCTGTCAGCGCCTGCAGTTGGCACTCGGCGTCCTGGTGCTCGCCCTGACTGGCGTGACGGTGCGCGGCGAGGTGTACACAGCGCTGGCGGAGATGGAGGAACTGCTTGAGACTGAATCCGTACTGATAAGCAATCTGGAGGGCTACATACGCGTGCAGGAGGACAGACTGAGCTATCTGAAGAAGTGAGTACCGAGCAGGGACAACCTCTGCTAAGTCGCTTTTCATAAATCAAGCGTGCATCGAGTATCTTACAGCTGCATTTGCAGGCCTTTGAGATACCTATATAAACTCAAGTCGTTGATAGCTGTAATTTCAGTTCTCTTGATTTCTTTTGAGCACAATTGTGTTAGGGTAGAAATATGTTCAGGCTACTACAGTATGAGCTGTGCACTTTGCACATGTAGTGCAGTGTAAAAAGTAAGAAAATGAAACTGTTATGATCCTCACATTTCAATAAGAAGAATATTTATTTAATCACTTAATGGCAGAAAACATTTGTATTTATTTTTGGTTTGGTATTTATAAGCTTAATAATTTTTATAAATTGAACACAAATTTGATTCGTGTAATCTTTAGCCATTTCCGTTTTACTGTTATTTATTAAAAACTCTACTGAAATTCAGTTATTAAACAGTTATTATACATTTTTCAGCAAAGGCTTCTAAATAATGCATTCCGTTTAATGTGTATTTTATAGAATTTTGATTTTTGTTGTTCCAATTCGACCGAATTCTTTAAATTGAAGATTAATTGCATATATTTGCAATGCATATGTATGCGTATAGATAGAGTATGTAGCATATAGGGTTTCATTCAAACTCTAAACAGAGTTGAAGTTGAATGTTTAGGTGTAACTGTTGTTAATATTAAAGAGATATGTGAATGTATGTGTGAGTTGTATGCTGACTGTGGCCAATGCGGTAGTAAGTTTGTTTATGTCTTCGTAAAGCGAGTTAGTTGTTTGTGCTCTTATGATATTCCAGTTGAGAGGTTTTATAAGCTACTTGTATGGAGTGAGAGGGTGGACGGCATTCGTGGCATTTGCGTGTGAGAGGGTTAAGTTTGAGTTGAGTATGTGATTGTGTTGTTTTTCGATGTTGTTATGAGAGTTGGTGCTGAGCTAATGCTGTCCACTTGCATGCAATTGTAGCTGTATATATGTATATATTCTTAAATATTTTATATGTAGTGCAGTTTCATTAGCAGCTGAATAACTGGTATGCACAGAGATTGTAGAACGGGAAGCAAAATAGGGCACGAATAAAATATATTCTGAGCATTTTGTGAGCAGGTGGAAAGAGCTTTGCAAATGCCTATATATAAATATCCAAATATAAGCATGTATATTAGTTATATATTATATGTGCATAGAGTATATTCTTATACAATATATGCGGAACACTAGGAAAAATAATTAAGCAAGCTCTCATCAAGTCTCTCTCAACTCGCTCGAGATCTTACAGAGCTAGTCTAGTCTATTCCGTCTTTCTCTTAATTACTTAACTTAGAGACGGATATAAAAGACACTTTCTTATCGCCTACCGAATATAAATATGAAAATAAACTGAGGTCAAGACATCTTAATAAGGTTTCAACACTTTTTGCTAGTCTTCCTATTATCCCATAAATAACTACAGCAAACTAAAAAGAAACAAAATCCATATATATTATAATGTATAAATCACATATAAGCATATTACAACTACAACAACAAATCCATAGAGAGCGGACATTATGCAGCATATTTTAATGTATATAGGTAACAAAACTTATATATTCATCAGGCAATTACTATTTCATGGCCAACTCTCGAGTAGCTCGAGTGCAGAGTACTCGCAGCAGAAGCACGCTCGACTAAATCAATCTAGCTCGTATAATGTGCTGTTTATGTAGATGAGGGAGCATAAACTACTAGACATACATTCATGGCTAGAGCGGCAGGTGAGGCTGTGAGGTACGCACATAATTACAGTGGCTGTCGCCAGTATTTTAGCCACGTGCGTGTGGCAGCTGTTGCATCTGCAGAAAACGAGCAGCAGCATAAATATGTCTTAAGCATAAACATGTACATCTACGTACATATAGATAAAGATGTACGTGTGTATGCCTGTTCTCTTCTATTTATGCGGCGCCAAAGACACAGCGAACGCTATTTACTCTGCATATCTTGAGCTACCCCTGGCGCACATATGTCTGCTTATATACTCGATTATACGTTTGTGTGGTAAATGATTGTTGGCCCTGCGTGCAGCGGAAGGACGTAGATGCAGGATAAAGGGCACAGCGGATGCGGTAGGGCAACTCCCCTAATCAAGTATGCCAGCAGAGAGAGACAAAGAGAGGGAGAGAGAGAGAGAGCAGCAGGAGCCCAAGCAGGATCTATCTTATTTACTTGATCCGCTGCTGCGCCCCTCTCTACCCTCGTCTCTGCGTCTGGCAAACGCAAAGGGACAGCGCCGAGGGGGGCTGCCAAAACAGCTGTCAGCTGTTGTTGAAGATCTTTGTTGTCATTGCACCACAGCCGCATCCTTGCAGCTCTGCGCCTCTGCCTCCGCATCTCTGCCGAGTCATGGCGCGTGCCACAAACTGTTGGCTGCTGCGCGCTGCCAGCAAATTAAAATTTAATGCCGAGTTAAATTTTTCCATTTGGCAGCAGTTGAATTCGCCGGCTTTTCCCAGCGCCAACTGCCAACTGCCAACTGCCGCGCCATGCTTTGTTTTATTGTTAACGATGCGAGCGCCTTTTGCACGCTGAATGTCAATGCACAACATTTTACTATAAACAGAAGTGGAGCCTTGGGGGCCGTCTGCCGTCTGCTGTCAGCTGTCAGTTGTCCTTGCAGCATCAAATCTCGATTTGATTTGTTGTTTTTTGCGTTTGTCTCTCGCTGCCTCTGGGCCGAAATCCAATTAAGTTGGCCAACATAGATAAGCCACACACACACACACACACATGCAGCGCTAACAACTGCACGCCGTGGTGGGTGTTTCGGCTGACACTATTGACTCTCGATAAGCGCTCGCACCACGAATGTAACGGTCGCTTGAGCCAGGGTAGCGAGCTTCCTATATACATATACATGTGTGTATGTATATGTGCATGAGCATATAAAGGCGTCGCCTATTTCGCTGTTATGAATTGTGTAAATATAAATTCAAAATGCTGATAAAACGACTTGCAATGCCGGCTGCGGCGTAGTCGAAATTCGTTTCAACCCTCATGAGCAGCAGCAGCGGCAGCGGCAGCGGCAGGAACAGGAGCAGATGTTTCCAGCACAACGGAACGCGCCAAACGACGCCTGCCGCTGTTGCTGCCGCTGCTGCTTTTGTTATTGTTGTTGTTGTTGTTGTTGTTGTTCCAGAGTTGTCTTGAGCTCAATTATTGTGTGTATGTTTCAGTATATAAGCCAAGTAAATGGTTATATTTTATTCAAAGGGGGGGTCACAGCAACGCACGCGTCGCTGCCGTCTCTGCCGATCCACTCGACTGCGCGCCGGCGCAGGAAATTGCTAGTCGAGGAGCGACTGACAGCCAGCGTCGCAGTTCAGTCGAGTCGTAGTTGTCGTGCCGTGCGGATCACTCAAGCAGTTGCAGTTGAAACCGTCGAGATCAGTGAATACAGTGAACACTCCCAGAACACAGCCAAGTACAGTGCGCGTGCATCATGTCGAGGCACAACTATACGAATCCGGCCTTCTGCCAGAACAGCGAATTCTATCCGGTGGCGTCCAACAATTGCGTCGAGTCCATTTACAATCGCAGCCTGCAGCTGAACTTCAATGCCGTCTCTCGCACCGCTCAGCCACCGGCCGCGGCCTGCCGCGACCCGCGCGAGGGGCCCTTGCGCATGCAGCGTAGCATGTCGACGCGATCGGTGACGCGTAAACAGTACCAGCAGCAGCAGCAGCAACAGCAGCAGCAACAGCAGCAACAGAAGCAACAGCAGCAACACAAGCAACAACTGCAGCAGGAGCAGCAGTCTTCGAGTGGCCGCTATGCCTTGGTGCCACTGGAGGATCTGGGCGCCGTGGCCAGTCGCTATGCCATTGTGCCCGGCCAGGCGGCGCAGCGCTTGGCTCGCTCGCAGGACAATCTGGATCGGTATGGCTCGCGGCAAGGCCTGCAGTCAGACGAGGAGCCGCACTCCTTTCATGAGGAGCCGCAACAGCAGCAGGAGACGCAGTTCGCCAGCCTGCCGCCCACACTGAACGCGCTGCCGCCCAAGCCAGCGCCCAAGATCAAGCACGCCTTCTCCAGCGACTTTGGCAGCAAGACCTTCCTCATTGTGGACAAGAACAGCAACCAGCGCTATCAGATGGTGCCCACGGCGGAGGATGAGGAGCTGGTGGACGAGAACCAGGAGATCATACAAATGCACAATGGACGGGCGCATCGCTATGCGGTCATACCGACGGAAGCGGATGACGACTACTTGGCGGCGGAGGACTCGGCGCAGGCGCAGCAGGAGACCTGCTTGAGCAACACCGAGCTGAACCAGCCATTCAACATGCGTACATCGACCCCGCAGCAGCGCAATGCGGCAGCTGCCACACGAGCGCTGCACGAGCTGCTTACCACACCCCGCAAAATGCAACCACCACCGCGCCTGGCCCATTCGACGCCGCGCAACGCTGCCCACCACGAGCAGCTGCTGCGCGAGCGTCAGCTACAGCTCTACCAGAGCCAGCAGCACATCAGCCTCCACCAGCAGGCCACCACCACCACCGTCTCAGTTGCGCCGTCGCCGGCGCTGCCGCTGCGCCAGCAGCGACTCTCGCCACAGCGACTGCACTACGAGACGGTGAAGCCGGCAGCGACGGCCACAGCTCAACAGCAGCAGCTGGCCAGTGATCGCACCACGGCGGTGATTAGTCCGCGTGTGCAGGGCCAGGAGCTGGATCTGAGCAGCGTCCATGGCAAGTCGAACATCAACAACAACTCGTACCCACAGAAGCTGGCCAATGCCACCATCACGCTGGCCATTGTCTCGCTGATGCTCGTCCTGGGCAGCACCATGAATGCCGGCCTCATCATCTACATGATCGCCCATGTAAGTGTGCTCAATGCGACTCGCTCCCATCGATTCTCGACTTATATCCCACCTTCTCTACTTTAGCTCGGCAAGTCGTTCTACCTGCAGTTCGGACTGGTTGCCTCCTTTTGCGGCATGGGCCTTGGATTTCTGGGCTTTCGCTCGCGCCACTGCGAGTGGCTGCCGAACCGTAGCTACACCTCTGGCTACATCCTGGTCACCATCTTCTGCCTGTTCAAGTGCTGCGGCCTGCTGCTCATCCTGGTGCTGGACCCGTTCCCGGGGCTGCCGCTCCACGATGTCACCACGGGCGTCATCCTGGGCCTGTCCACCTTCACCATGTTCTTCATCGGCCTGGGCGTCATTGGCAGCCTCTGGTGCTATCGCCCGCCGCCAGACAACCGCGTCAATGTGGTCTAGACGCTGTCTGCTGTTTGTTGTCTTAGTCTTAGCCTTAGTTTAGTTCGTAGCAATTAATCTTAGTCTTAGTTTCTCTCTATTCTTTTTAGCGAGCGGCATCCGCAACGGCTAGAAGACCAAAAAAAAGTATTCGTAATTGGAGACGTGTACCAAATTCCTGCACTGAATTTTTCAAGACTGTAAATATCGCAACATGGGGCGCGCCTTGAGATAAATGGGTTGTAATTAGTTGTAAGGCATCAGCATTTATTTAAGAATTACTATCTAAATTATTGTCTATGATATTGTTCGACATTTTGCTTAAGATTTGCACATACAATAAAGTTATTCAACAATCGCACACAACTCATGGTTTTGTACTTTTCTACTGAAGATTTTATCTGAATTATTTGAGGCAGGGGGAGCTCGCGTGCTCTACCTGGCTGACTGTCTTAATTAGTTCTCTGGGCTCATTTTATTTTTCATGTGTCACCCCGAATCTCCTCTAATTTTAATTCTTATTCTTATTAAATTCGCTTTCTTTAGCCTAATGAACCATTATTCATTAATTAATCTTGAATGTGTTTAGTCTTGCTTCAGCTCTCGTTAACTGTCATCTGTTTCTATTTGCATTCATTTATCATTTTCATTTCAACTTTATACTTTTGCCAAGACTTTTATTTAAGCGTCTCATTTTTAACTCGAATCAATTTCTTGTTTAGTAATATTCCTTTAATATATATAAAATTTAAATATTTTACATATTTTAATGTAAATAATATGGCTTTGAATTTTGTAGAAAAGGTATAACTAAATTAAAATTTTTATTTTCTTGATTGTAATGGCTATAGTGAGTTTGTGAAGATGTATATAAAAGAGAGAAGGAGGCCATACAGTATATATCTTTATTTATTTATTATTATGATT